CCACCACCTAAGGGAGTTGGGGCAATTCCCCTGCCTCTGTTAGTCACCTACTCTCTGGCTCCTGTCGAGTCATTTCTGCTGGAGATGACTTAGCCCTGAGGCTCAAAGTAATACTTCTAAAAGCAAATGCTGAACTGTTCTAGCTTTGCTCTTCTGAATGGGCCAGACTGCAACAAATAGCAGGTTTATTAACAAACAAACCAACCAACAACACTTCCCAAGGCAAAATATCCTATCCCTCAGAGCCTCTTTGAGGCCTTCCCCTACCATTTCATGCAACACCTGTTAGTCGTCATGCTCTAACTATCCATATACTTTGTCTTGTAAATTACACTGAGACCTGAAGAACAGAGATTGCACTGGGGGACTGAAATAATACAAGAGGAAGAAGTTCAAGATTTTAACAATACACACTGTACGTCCTCTTCAGGGCTGTACACATATCGTGCCACCCTCAAACCCCATGGCCAAAGGTTCCACAGCACTGTCCTCTTTTACAGATAGCACAGAGAAGGGAAATGACTTGCCCAACGTCTCACAAGACTCAGGTACTCACAGCTACTAACCCTTTGCTACCGGAAGAGGAATAGCAGCTAAAATTTATGTAAAGCTGGGGTCAATTACTAGGTCTGCCTGGCTGCTGTTAGAGGGGCAGGCCAGAATCACCCACATTTGTCCCAGCAGGGCCTGCGATGGTGGAGGCTGTGTTTAACTGAACATGCCAGCTGGCAGTTTTAGGAGCAGACTTCTATGCATGAAGAGTGCTACGTGGTGCCCGGGCCTGCCCTCAGGCATGGTGGCACCGCTGGAGCGGTTATGCCAGGGTCTCTTTCCAGCCATATGAAAAGAAACAGACGATAGCTGAGCGACTCACCTCAAGTTTCAGGAAAGTGTCCTGAGGCAGATATTGCACTTGCAGGTTTCCTCGGAAGAAGGCGGGACCCACGGCGTAATCTGGGATCGTGCTCCAAGCAGTGACACCTCGCAAGCTGTGAGGCAAAGACAAACACAGTTAACAGAAGGAAAGCAGCTTCCTGACAGGCGCAATTCATGGGTCCAGGGCTGGCCTTAGGATCATTTCAAACAGAAGGCCACAGTAGGGGACCGTTTGTTACCATGAAGTAGCTATTC